TTTGTGGTACTGAGGATTGAACTCAGGGCCTCTGCATTGAGCTACATCCCTGGCCGCTTTTTTTATTTTGAGACTGTGTCCCGCTAAGTCACTATGTAGCCCAGGCAGGGCTCAAAGCCACAACAATCCTCCTGCCTCAGCCTCCCAGAGCGCTGGAATCACAGGTGTGCCACCACCACACTCAGCTCTTCTTTCCTAAAGCATACTCCTGTCTATTTGTTCCTCCATTTCAAAGGCAGCTACTACAATATTATAGCTCTTGGAACTTTGTGTATGATAACACAAGGCTTAAAATTCAGCAACACCCTCTGATTTTCCTCATGTATCTCAGGAGCTGGTGTTAAAGGGCTGGAAATGAAATTTCAACCCTAGGGAAATCCTGAGAGCCACAGTATCTACACCTACATGACGGGAAATGCTTTCCTTTTCCTGAAGGCTGGGCGCTTGTGAGCCCCTCCTAGTCTAATCCCGAGGCCTCCAAATCCATCTGCTGGGGAACCACAATTGTTGCAGTGCTGGACTCTGGGACTTTACTAAATCGTAATCTAAGACGGGGAGGGACTGTCCTTCCTTCCTACTTCCAGCCACAGCGACAGGTGCGCTTTGGGTGGCCAGAGGGCATGGGATGACTTGTGTGTACACACAGTCAGAGTGAGGCCACACCTACAACCCCGCCCCCATTCCGGAACCCTCATCTGGGGCTGCTTTTCCTACACTCTGTTCCTTGCTTTATCCCTCAAGGAACCCAGTAGAGCATCAGCCACACAGCCGACGTTCAGTACAAGTGAATATTCCATAAGACGCTCAGGCAGGAGGATCGCTGTGAGTTTGAGTCCAGCCTGGGCAACTTAGCAAGTCCTCTTCTCAAAATGAAATAAAAAAGGGATGGGGATGACTCAGGTTCAATCCCTACTACTGCAAACAAACACCCCCCCCCCCCCCGTGCCATTATTAGAGTTCATCTCCTCTCTTATGGGCTTATTCTTTTCTTTATTATAAATATCTCATTTAAGATATTTACTGAATCATAGTGATGAAAGAAACTGAGAGTGTGCCTTTCATTCATCGTTGAACTCAAACCTTGGTAGGCAGGCTGCCATGCTCAGCCGCAGGGGACTCAACACAGTCTCACTGAAGAATGGGGAAGAGGGCACAGTGTCTGCATGAGCTTCCTCTTTCTGCCTTGTTCCCCTCCTACTTCCAAATTCCGCTTCCTCTCTGTGAAGCCTAGCTCAATTCTTCCCTTCCAGTCCTAAATCCTCTTCCTTTAGAGATTGTTGTAGGCCAGGTGCAGGGGCGCAGGCCTATAATCCCCAGGTACTTGGGAAGCAGAGGGAGGAGGATCTCAAGTTCAAGGTCAACCTGGGCAATTTAGTGAGACCCTGTCTCAAAAATTTTTTTTTAAAAAGGGCTGGGGATGTAGCTCAGTGAGAATACCCTAGGTTCCATCTCCAGTATCAGAAAAAAAAGCCCTACAGCACCCCTACTATATGCCATATACACTGATTTGCATGTATTAGCTCACGTGTCCCTTGCTCAGTGCTGGAGTTCTTGCCTAGCATGCCTGAGACCTTGGGCTCAATCCCTTGCACTGCAAAAAACAAAAACAAAAATACCTTCTTGGCAGTTCCTCCAGTTCTTGGCTCTTTTAGTGGATAGCTCGTTTTATACCTTTTTTCTGTCCAATTATGTGGCATTTTTACTTATAGAAACTTTCCTTCCCTCTCTCCCTCCTTTTCTTCCTTCATTTTTTTTTTGGTATGGCACTGGGTATCAAAAGCAGGGCCTCATGCGTGCTAGACAAGTGTTCTACTGCTGAGCTACATCCCCAGTCCTTGTTTATCTTTAGTTTTCAATTTTTATTTTGAGACAAGAGTTTCACTATGTTGTTCAGGCTGTCCTCGAACCTGAGATCCTCCTGACTCAGCTTCTCTGGTAGTTGGACTGCAGGCGCGCACCATTACTCCCAGCTCATTTTGTTTTTATATCAATAGTACAAAACAGTATGTACTGTTTTACACTTTCTCTTTTTTTTAATTAATGTACATCTTGATGATCTCTCTCTATGTACTTGTTTCATTCTTTTTAACGGCTGCCTAATATTCCAGAAGACAGATAAATTTATCAGAGTTTACTTATGGCTATTCCTATTTACGGTTTTTAAAAAAATTTTTTGAACTATAAAAACTCAGCAATGACTTGAGCATGCATGTACTTTTTTCTTTAGGATATATACTAAGAAATGGAATGCTGAGTCATAGAATGTGCACAGTATCCATTTAATAGTGCCAACCTGCCCTTCAAATTGACTGTATTTATGCATCAGTTGGGAGTATAAGAAAGTGTCTGATTTCCTATAAGCATGTCAGCTTCACTTTTCACTTTGTTTTGTCTGCATTCTATTTTTCTCTCCTAGGCTGGGGGTTACAAGTTCAATGAGAAAAGCCCCTGACTTCCTCACATCTGCACTGCTTCCTCCATCCAAAGGTATTTGAAAATCTCAGCTTTGAATGTTTGCTGAATGACCTCTAAGCACACTTTTTTTCCCCCTTATCTTTGTGTAAGATAAGCACTTTTCAAAAGCATTTACCAAGGGCCAGGGATTTAGCTCAGTGGTTCCGGACCTGAGTTCGATCCCTGTACCAAAAAAAAAAAAAAAAAAAAAAATCAAAAGCATTTACCAAGATTGCATCTAACTCTGAGGTTATTTCTTAAGAATGAAAAACATTCCTGAGAAAGTTGGTTGAACTTTTGCACATCCCTTCCCTGAACAAGTTACAGATATCTTTCTTTTAAAGTCGCCTACAACAGAATTCACCTCCTGCTTTGCTGGCAGGAGGCAGAAAAAACAGAAGTGGTTGTGTCAGACAATAGCTGGCAGGGTGTCCCACCTGCTGGGGAACAGCCAGCCAAAGGCGCCTCACAAACCCCAGGAAGCAGACAAGATGGAATGGCAGGGAGGGACTGCAGGTGGGAGCAGGGTCAGAGTCTTTGGGACATTCTGGATCCAGGGATAAATTCTTCATAGAGTTTTGTTTGTTGATTTTTTTTTTTTTTTGGCACCAGGGATCAAACTCAGGACCTTGTGCTTTCGAGGTAGGTGGCAGCACCACTGAGCTAAAACCCCAGCCCCTACTTCATAAGAGTTTTGAAATAGCAGAAATCATCAATATCTAAAGCTTGACAATGAATGGATCCAGCGAGGCAGAACTGTGCTGAGGTAGGGAAACCAGAGGTGAGCAAAACTAGATATATTTTAAGAGGAAATTTGGATACAAGTAAAGAGCAGTTTCCAAGATGTGAAGTACGCGATTCGAGAGAAATTTTTCCACTGGGCAATCCCTGTATTTATTTATATGATAATCTTGGGCTAAAAGAATTCTAAAAGTCACCGGCATGGTACCAAATGCTGGATCCCTGAACAGTTAGTTTAAATATAAGAAGAGTTTGCTAGAGGAGTAAGAGACAACTTTCAGTTAAATATGAACAGACAGAATTATGTGTGGCTTAGCTTGTGTTTCAAGACAATATAAATGAAGTCATTCTTGGACTTAATAAGGTTTTCTTTTTCTTTCACCTAGTGAACCGTTTCAGCAGCAACTGTCGGCCCAGGGAGGGTGCAATTGTATTTGGGGACTGTTTGCCACGGTGGACTGAGAGCCCCTGGGGCTCCTGGGGTCCGTGGGCCCCCGTCTTGAATTCCCCACGCTGGAGAAGGCTGGCCTCGCAGACCAGTACCCTGTGCCATAGGAACTGGCCCACAATCAGGATGAGGAGCCTGGTGCGCACTGCACCCCTTAAACATGCAGGGAGTTGTGCTTTGGTTTCTCAGCCCATTTCTCCACTTTGATTCCCTCATCCACCACGAGGCTGTTGCTAAAAAGCCCCAGCAATGACCAGTCTTCAGGGTCAACCTGGGAACAATCAATCAGCGATGCGAAACTCTTGGAAAGCGAGGCTCATTTGGCTCTTGGGGGACCAATGCCCCTTTAGCCATTGTTGTGTGGAACAAAGAGGGCAGCGGCTGAGGGCGCCCCCACGAGGAAAGGCAGAGAAGGACACCCGCGGGCGCGATATGCCATGCTGGCCGGGCGCGGAGTGGGGTGCGCCAGGACCGCCGGCTGGGAGCGGGGGGCGGCAGAGCAGATCCCCACCCGCCGGGCCCCGTAGCCCTTCTCTGCGCCGCAGCCACTTTACTACTTTTATTCCCCATTCTTCTGTTATTATTATTTATTATTTTCCCGCGCAAAGCGCGACGCTGGGACTGCCCGGGCGAGCCGCGGAGGGGCCGCCATTTCCCGGGGAAAGCGCGGCGCGCGTCGGCACCGGGCGCCCCGGAAAGGGAACCGGAGGGAGTGCCCGGCCCTGCGCCCGCCCGTCCGCGTCGGCCCGGCCCGGGGCGCACGCCCGCCCGCCGCAGCCCCCGGCCCTCGCCCGCCCGCGCCGCCGCCTGGCCCCGGCCCGACCTTCCCCGGCGCCGCCTGCGCCCAGCCCGCGGTCCTCGCCTCGGCGCCCCTCCATTGTCAGCCTGCGGCGCCCGGGCACCTCCGAGGCCCCCGCGGCCCGGCTGGGCGCCCTCGGCCCTGGCGCAGCCCCCCGCCCAGTGCCCCTCGGCGCCTCCTTCCTCTTCCGCGCCCCGAAGTCCGCATCCCCTGGAGCCCCCGCTCCTCGCGTCCCGCCGCCCGGGCCCGCCGCTGACCCTGCATCCTTCCTTCCTCCTCCCTCACTGCCCACGAAGCCCCGGCCCCTCGCCGGCCGCAGGAATTTTACCGCTCCTTTAGCAACCCTCCCCCTTTATTTCCCGAAGAGGCAAGTTGGGCAGATTTATTATTATCCTTATTATTATTTGCAGAGATGGGTCGGCTATCGGGGTGCGCCCGCGGGGGCGAGGGGGAGAGGCAGGGGTGGGTCTCTCCGGCCCGTGCACTGCCCTGGCAGCGCGTTTTGTTTCCAGACCCCGGAGCCCCTAAACAATAATGCCATCGCCATGGCGGGCTCACCTGGTGCTGCGCCGCCTGCTCCGCGCGCCCGGTGCCCTCTGCGCGCCCCTCCCCGGGCGCAGGTTCGGCCCGCGCGGCGCCGGTGCAGGGCAGGACTCTTTGCCTTTCTTTGGGTTTTATCTGTGCGTGTCAATGGCGGCAAGCGGCAGTTCTCCGGGCCGCGGATAGTAGCGGGGGGAGGAGGAGGAGGGAGAAGGGATTGCTCCTTCTCCACATAACCACCTCTAGGAGGAGTCGCTCAGCCTCATCCCCTGCCAGCCCAGGCTCCACGACCGGTCTGGGGCTTTCGATGGGGCTTGATGAGCTATTGTCCTTCAGGAGCATTAAAGATGAAACCGCTCTGCTTCCGTGTAGCTGGCGGATCTGCTGGAGGCGCCCAGGGCCTCCTGCTGAGATGAGGTTTTCCCCAGAGTCTGGACCGAGGCACCATGGTCACTACCCAGAGTCTCCTGTTGGCCAGATCTACCTTTGGTGGGAGAAGGAGACGTGGGTGGTCGTGTGGCTCTCACAGTTCTGGGAGAGCCTCAGAAGGTGAACGCGAACAATTCTCGCATGTCCTGAAATAATAAGACACATTAGTGTTCGTGGCCACCACTGGGAAGAGAGCCTACGGCGGCCACAGCCATGAGAACTGAAAATTTGTATCCATGCCTGTCCTCTCTTCTAAGAATTAAGACAAATTCAGAATCTGTTGTGTATCCCCTGGAATAGGAGATGTATATTTTGGTGTCCAAAACTGGGTACATGGGCATGATTTTTAATTGGGCTGCTTGCATTAGGTTCATCTGTAATATCCCAATGGGGATAGAGCTTACTATGAGGCTATTGTCTTTGGGACCAATTTTTATTCGTTTCCGGAAAACGCATTTGTGTGGGGGTGTGGTAGACAATATCAGGTGTGACAGTGGGGAGTAGGAGCTGCTTGTTTCCGTTGGAAGCCAGCACTCGCCTTTGTATTGTGAGATGTGGCCCAGGGCTCATGGCTGGAAGGCCAGTCACACCGTTTTCTTCATGTCACTGGGAAATGCTAACTTGTAATAGAACATCCATATTTCCTTTCATTTCTCCTTGATGAATTCAAGGATTCCAAGAGGCAATGGTTCGATCTCTTCAAGGAAGAGATCTGGATGAAAACAAAATTCTTCAGCATTGGCCAAATGGATGCTTTTCTGAGCCATTACTGTTTGACAATATTGTGTATATTTGCTGCTATGACCTTGTAACTGTGTAGGCAATGGGAGAGTTTGGGGTGACTGAAAGCCTGATTACTTGAGTGTGGAGAACCTATTGCCAATGACCCTTGCTATTGCTGGCATTTATAGATAGCACTTTAAATTTAAAACGTGCATTTTAAACAAGTGTTTTTGCTGAGAAATCAGCTGCCTTCCTCTCTTGATTTTCCCCTAAATCTTGCATATATCTTACAGATGTAAATAAACCTTTTTAAAAATTCCATATGACTTCTCAAACTCTCCCGGACCTCATAGTCTCAGGTGATCAGGACTTCCTTCCCTTGCCTTCCTAAGCCTTTCGTGTTGTGTACGACTTCACTGTTATTTGTCTTGGGAGGTACTGCCAGGTCAGAAATCCAGGCAGGATAGTCTTCTTTGCCTGAGACATGTATTTAAAGGATTTTGAGTGATCTCTTGTGGCATCTCTGAATAGTGTCTTTTCTCATTCCCAGAGGAAGTGCCTGTGCTCCTTATTTCTTCACCAGAAATAAAAGTTCAAACCAACATTCAAGAAATTTCCAGAGCCCTCCCTCTAGGAGTGCTGGAAAAATAGTCCTATTTTGTCCTCCAGTCAGGCAGGCTGACTGAAATATAGTTGAATAACTCATCAGCATATATTAGATTTACACGCTCCCTATCATTTTTCAATTAAAATGGTATATGTGAATTTTATGAAACTGATTTTATCCAAGCATTTGGTGATGTGCTATCCTGAGGAAGGCTGTGTCTAAGAAATTTGTTAGTCAGGATTCTCCCAAATAATCCTAGGCGGTTTCTTCAAATACAGATGTTCCGCACACTTACAATGGGGTTATCTCCCACAGACCCGTTGTAAGTTGAAAATATTGTACAACTAATAGGCAGATGCTCCTAACCCCCTGAACGTCTTGCTTAGCAACACAGTCCACTGTAAAGTATTGATTGTTCCCTGTCGTGATCACCTGGCTGTCTGGGAGCTGTGGCTCACTGCAAGAGAGAATCACACTCCGTATCACTAAGGTCAATACCCAAATTCCAAGAACAGTTTCTATCAAATTCTTACTGCTTTTGCACCATTGTGAAGTTGAAAGATTGTAAGTTGCACTATTGTAAGTTAGGGACCATGTGTAGATGGTGCAGTCACAGCTCTGAGAATCCAGGGGGAGATCGTCCTCCTAGTGCCCTGGTTCTTAGAACAGAAGAACCACAGAGGCCACCTGGTCCAAGCCCTTTGTGCTATAGGAGGAAATCTGGTACACAGGTGGGTGCTGTGACTCGGTGAGGTAGCGCAGATAATCAGTGGTGGAGTTTCCAGGGTATTTCCAGACCCAACCAAAGCAGTGTCCAGCAGCTCCAAGCTTTTCAGGATGTATAAGGGACAAATGTGCATCTTAATATGCAGATGAAAGCCAGGCATGGTGGTGCATGCCTGTAAGCCCAGCACTTGGGAGGCTGAGGCAGGAGGATTGCCATGAGTTTGAGGCCAGCCCGGGCTACATAGTGAGTTCAAGGCCAGCCTGAACTACATAGTAAAACCCTGTCTCAAAAAAGCCCCCAATATGCAGATCAAGTCAAATGATGTATGTTTAATACTGAACATTTGACACATAAAAATCTGAACACTAAGGTAATATTTTATAATTAAGATGCATTAAAAATAGTCAACATGAGGGCCGGGGATTTAGCTCAGTGGTTTCACCACCTGCTGTGCAAGGGCAAGGACCCGAGTTCGATGCCCGGTACCAAAAAAAAAAAAAAGTCAACATGATTATAAGGTCATCAGTAGTCTGGAGTTCTGCAGCGACCTCTAGCTAGGAAACCTCTGACAAGTCAGGTAATAAATGATGATAATAAGAGGTCACACTTAGTAAATGCTTACTATGTGGACTGCACTGAACACTTCACCCTTCCTAACTTGTTTAATCCTTATAACACTTTTATGCTGTAAACAATATTTCTCTTTTTTTGTAATTATAGAAACTGAGTCAGAGTGCAGGTGAGAAACTTGCCCACAGATAGAGACTTAGGAAGCAGCAGGTTCATGCTTTTATCCACTGCCTTAATGTGATGATAGGGAAGTGCATTTGTTATAAACAAAGCCATTTTGTACTTGGTCATAAGATAGGAAGCCTCTTGGACCCCTCTCAATACCTACACTTAAGGAGTCAGCAAACAGCCTAATTACAAGAGGCTTGGTTGATTACAACTGCATTGAAAACATTTTCTTAACCCTTGACCTGTATGTGTGGATAATATGATGAATACATGTATTGATTCTGAGTTGGCTCCATTAGCGACAGGGATGTCTAGTAAAATTTTATTGAGATACAGGATGAATTGCCTCTCCATTCGCAGACAGGAATGTAGCACAGCATATCTATGAAAAAAAAAAAGGATCAAATGGGTAACCGTACAACCACATTCATATCCTATTGGGTCTGCTAGTAATTGATTCAAAAAATCACCTATTTAAAAATAGCTTTATTGATTTTCTTTTGCTCTCCCCTGACCTTTTTTCTTTCTTGTGATGTTGTCAATTCAGTGGACTTTTATTTTCCCTGATTAGTTCTAACCCAGTGCTTAGTGCATACTATAATTTGTGATCATTTTACCCTTCTAGGATCTTGGTAACAGCCATTGATTTCCTAACGTTGCCTCTTCCAGAAGAACTACATGCATATAT